GGTGACGTCACGGACACTACGTCCATGTTTTTATACAGTCTATGGGCATGACGACATTTCCCGACCAGGCGCCGAGAGTGGTGCCAATCACAACACACACTGGCCCAGCTAACCAATCACAACGCACACTGGCCCAGCTAACCAGTCACAGCGCACGCCAGACTGGGGGGAGAGGTGTTGTAATAATGTAAAATATGTGAAAAATAATGTTTTTCGAACAACCTAGTATGAGAGCCTGTTCTAGTACACCCCCAAAACAAAATCAAGACTTTGTAAAAGAGCATAATAGGACCCCTTTAAGCAGACAGTCTATTAAAACTCTATGACTGGTAATTGACATGTAATTGCAAAGTTATTTACAGTCAGCAGAATGTCTAAAGGGGACATCAAAATAAAGTGTTACCAAAGTGTTGTTAATGTGAAAAGCTTTTTTTTTTAAATAAAATAATCCTTTTTTCAGTGAGGAAACATTTAATTGATAAAAAGTGTTAGTAAACACATTTATGTCACTAAATAGGTCCTATTTCTTTTTCAAATAAATGCTGATCTTTTGAAGTTTCTAAAAAAATGTATCACCGTTTCCACAAAAGCTGTTTTCACCATTGAGAGTAATAAGAAATGTTTCTTGAGCAGCAAATCACTCAGCATATTAGAATGATTTCTGAAGAATCATGTGACACTGAAGACTAGAGTAATGGCTGCTGATAATTCATCACAAGAATAAATTACAATTTAAAATATATTAAAATAGAAAAAATGTGTTTAAATTGTTTTGTTTTTTTTAAACAATTTTATATATTTTGTGAGCATAATGTCTTCTTTTAAAAACATAAAATTTTACAGCCCCCAAAACTTTAACCTTTGATCAGGCTAAACCAATACTGTGAGTTTGTGGCAAAACTACCTGTTCGTCTTAACTATTTGCAGATGAGGGGCGGGGTGGGTGGAAATGTCTGGTAAACCAGCTATATCTACCAACAAGGGTCTCAATCCCACAGGAGTCGATCTCTCACTCTACAGTCCCTATATGCATCCATTACAGTATGTTGTTGTTATTCTGAGAGACAACAGCATAAACATCGTGAAAAACCTTTTGGTTCTTTTGGTACAGCTTTCTTAAAGTGGGTCAAAGGCTGTTTTTCCACATTATTCCAAATACCAAATCCTTTGCTTTGGTTTTAGATGATATATATTGTCAACAGGTGAGAAAATAATCTACTAGCAAAAAAAAAAAAGAAAAAAGATCTACATCAAACATTGGAAATAGCATTAATACATGTTCAATATTTAAATTAGAATTCTAAATGTTCATATTAAAATCTTTGTTTATAGTTAAAGTCTATAATGTCTCACATGAAAGGAATGTGCTACTTAGACACAGTGGGATGAAACAGCCTCTCATTATTAATTCATTAAAGGCCCGAGTGCATCTCTCTTCCATTAAATACAAAAATACCTGTCAAGGTGAGAACTCCATCCTGTGCATCTAAACCCATCCACACACACAACAAAAATAACGGCAGACCATTTTTTTCAAAAGAAATGCTTACCTTGTGTCCCAGTCACAGATGAAGCTCTCTTTGATGTCCTCTCCCCGTCTTTACCCGTCCACTCTCTCTTCAATGATCTCTGCGGTCATCCCAGACCTCTAAGAGTGCAGCGTCAGTCCAGGTCCTTATAAAGGCAGGATCCGTCGGCACAGATCTCTCCGTCACACGTCACCCATCCTGGCCCTTGTCCTCTCCTTCAGCATCCCCACTCCAGCAGTGAAAAAGATGGAGGGAGCTTCGGGATTATACTCGTCTTTCATCTGATTACAAACCAGCCTCAGTCACATCTTCAAATCCCCAGGCAGGAAGGCGTGTGTGTGCGTGTGTGTGTGTGTGTGTGTGTGTGTGTGTACGAGAGAGCGAATGAAGAAGGAATGTGTGTGCCTGTGTTTGTGTGGGTGTTGTGGGGAAAGACTACATGTGTGATGTGGTGGAGGGCTGAAGGAGATTGGATGCTGAGAGGAGGAGGAGAATATGGAGATGAGGAGGTGCAGCGGTGGTTAAGCCGCCGGCGTTGATGCCACTTCATGCATCTGACAGAAAATAAAGGGGAAACACTTGACTGAATGT